AAAGGTCTTTTCCAACCTAAACGATTCTATGATTCTATGATTCTGTACTTCTGTGCATGTGCTCAATGACGAAGTGACCTCTCTGGTGAGGATACAGTGTCCTCCTTCACTCTTGGGACATCAGAGGTTAATCAGATTTTTGCCCTGTTTGCACTGGGCCAGGTATGCAAGGCAGGGCTGGTAGCAGCAAAAAAGTAGGAGAAAGCTGGGGCTGGAGAGGAAGGTCCTCTGTGCAGACATTGCCCTGACCCAGTGTGAGAGATGCAGTTTGCTTGTGCTACCCTAGAGGTTTTGTGGTAAATGATCTTCACCATCTGGTTTCTGCTCTGTTATCCCTTCAGGCTACATTCTCTCACATGCCAGCTCGCATCCTGATGCTCCTCATCCCTATCTTGGGCCCAGCCTCCTTGGTTTCAGGTCTCTGTTGCTCTCCTTTCTTCTCCAAATTTCTGTTTCTCCTCTAGAGTTATTCCCTAACTGTATCCTCACAGAGTTGAATGAGGGTTTTTCAGTGAACTACCACCAGCAAACACCTATTTTGTGCTCCTTAGCAGTGAAGGCAACAGGAAGAGCATTGAGCCTGTTCTGAGGCAGCTGATCTTTATTCTGACCTTGATAGCAACCTTCTGTCTTTTCTTTTTCTTTTATTTCCTTTGCATCAAACTCTCTGTTTGCCTGAAGCTAAATGAACAAAATATTATGTGAAGCAGTAACATCTCAGAGGCAATGTGAGCTGCAAAATCTGTTTGTCTGACTGCAGATGACAGATTTAGGAGACTGCCCGTCATCAGAAACAAAACAATGTGCTAGTGTGACAGTGGATTATGAAAAAAATGCTTTTTCTTCCCCTAAGTGCAGAGAATACAATCCGCTTCCTGGAAAGGCCTTTTTCTGTGGAGCTGTGCCCAGCAGCACAGAGTGGGGTGGAGAACAGCAGGTCATGCTGGCTTTAAAGGGATTCTGTAATGGAACTCGTTTACTTCCATCAGCAAAACAAGACCTCAGTAAGTCTGGGGAGGTTTCATGAAATGCTAAGATTCAGTGTAGACTTATTTAAGAACTTAGATTAGAACATAGAAAGTAGAGATGGAGAAGGGATCACACAATTACAGGGCAAACTCCAGTGAGCCAGTCTCAGGTGTTGTTTTATCTGGTTTACATTTGAGATGGGACTTCCACAAGTTCTACTGGGAAACTATGCTGCAAGCTGACGCTCCCTCTAGTTTCCTTCGGCAGTTTGCAGGCTATTATTGTCTTGCCTTGTCCTTTTTGTCCTAACCACGAGCGTCACATATAACCTGAATGGCATTTGGTGAAGAATCAGCAAGCAGTGGCCAGCCCTTTCTCCTCCCATGCATGAATATAAGGCAGAAAATAATTCTTTCAGGATGCCATCTGAAGCTCCATGGTATCAGCTCCTCAGGGAGGCCGGATCAGCTTCAGTAAATTAACAATGAACCAAGTTGCTTTTCTAACTAGTGATCTCTCCATAGCAATTCCAAACCATGCTGTGCACATGGGCAAGCCTGTGCAGCTGGGCTAAGCACAGCCAAAAGAAACGTTCCGTTTGCAGATCTTAGGGTTGACACTCTGCAGTGGGAATTTAGTCAGTAATGCTGATGGTGAGCAAGTAAAAAAAAATATTTCCAACCCTCTGCAGCAGTATTGGCTCTGCACTAGTCCCAGCAGCAAGCAGAAATAACATCCTTTTGGTCTGATGTGAAAGTGAACTAGAAGCACACAGTGGAAACAAATCTGTTCAATAGGATGTGTTTTAGGATGGAGATGGAACAGTAGAAACAAATGTTGACACAGCAGATAATTTCAGTTGTCAGCCCCTGTTTCTGATCTGCTCCAGCTTCCAAACCCTTCAAAATGAAAATATTTAGTATGTCCCAGTGAGGAAAGGTACCAAAAAAAGCACTCTTCTCAGTTGTAAATAAACCCTAATCATCACCTTTTTTAAAAAGAAGGAAGAAACTAAGACCAAAGCTCAAAGGCTGGTAAAGGGAGAGGCTCTATGCTCAGAGCCCCGTCCCAGCAGGGTGCCACTTCTCCCCAGATGAGACTGCTCTCTGGGTGCCAAAGTCTAGTCAAGTTGTCCCACTTTGGCCACCCTCATTAACCAAGCCCTGAGACTGAGCCACTGGCTCAAACAGATACCCTGTCCGGCAACTTGCTTTCTAGGAGTACTTGGTGCTGGAGACGATGGGAGTTTGAGGATTTTGCTGACTATTTGGAGCATTATTTTGATTAAAGTGGGGTTTAGGCTTTTGCCTAGCAGAACATGACAGGTTTGACAGAGTTTCCCAGGAGCTGACTCCTTTTAAGCTGGTGTTCGCAGCCAAAGGCAGAGGCCTGCATTCACTGACCTGGAAGACCATTTCTAGTTCTATGTTCCTGTAAGACCCAAGGTTTTGGTGGTGTATTAGCCACATTGCACTGCATGCATATGTATTCACATGTCTATGTATGTGTTTATTCCTTTCTGGCTTTGGATCTTAATCAATTGGTAGTAAGGAATTAGAAGTGTGTAATTTAAAACAAGCCAGAATTTTCCATTATTTACAATGCATTAGCACTTAATACATCGAAGACAATTGCCAAATCTATAAGAAGCCATTGCTATGCTCTTTAAAAATATGGGGGGTGGTATTAGGTAGAAAAACTCATTCTGAGGTAACAGAATTAGAAAATTTATATTATTGTATTTTGCTGTTAATAATGGGCTATGTTACATCAGCTTTGTTTTATGCAAACTTACTGAGATACTACTATGTCACCACAGATGAAATAGCACAAAAAAAGAGCTGTCAGCCTGCTTTACTCACTTCCCATTTTGCTCCCATTGTGAAAGGGCTGTATTGTTTCAAAAGGAAGGAGCCAGGCAGCCCAGAGAACAAAGGCTCCTAATTGTTTGGGGGAACTTTTTTGCTTTTCTAATTGGTCTTCAAAGACATGGGCTTGCAGTCTCTACAAAAGTGAGGACTGCACAGGGTGGTCTAGACAAGACCAGGCTTCAGACTAGTTGGGGTGTTGCTGGGGGAGTATAGAGCATCTTTGAACTAAATATGAGAAACAAGGCATCACTTTCTAGAACCAATTAATGCCGAGCGAGGAATAACAAGCCAGTTTCTCAACCTAACTTCATGCCCCCTTTCCTCCCATCAAATGGAGAGAAAACCTTTTCTAAACCTTTTGGCTGATATTGACAAATGCCTATAGTTCAGGTCTCTCCAACAGAGGTACAACCTCTTCTCCTGATTGTTGTGCAATCACCTTATTACTACCCTTGCTCACTAGTTTCATAGCAAGTCAAAAACTATAAAGTTTACTAAAAATATTGGTACTTTATTGCAGAAGAAAACTAAGAATAATGATTCTCAGCACTCAACCTTTGGACATAAAACAAATGAGCAGGAAGCAGAGGCTACTCATACCCACATCTACCCATATCCATGAGGTATCATGGGTTCTAGAGTGCCTAAAGATTTTTTTCCACCTCTGGCCCACATTGCTGCCAAGTGGTACACATAAACCTACCTCTAAAAACCCTCTACAGACTGCTTCTACTGCTGAATGTACCTGCTTCTGGTCTATAGGGATGAGGCCACTAGTAACACCCCTTAAGCATACTCTGTCCTTCCCAATATCACGTGGGGCACAAATGATCTGGGATTCTGGCATTTATAGCATGCAGTAACAACTGTTGACCTCCCATAGCATGCCACAGCAGGGCCAATAAAAGCTGAACATAGGACTTACTCTTTTGTCAGGCTTTTTTACTGGAAGCCTAAATGGCAACGTGAGAAGCTTGGAGTCCTCTGCATGTGTGTGTGTGTGCCTGACACATTGTATTACGGTAAGAACCCATGGCTGGGGTACCATGTTAACCTGTAAGAAGAGCTAAAAATGTTTGCTAGAGGAAAAGCTTTGGACAGCCAAGCAGCAAATATGAAATTCAGGTCTTCTCTGAAATGTTACATTTGCATAACCTCTCTGTTTATAGCAAGCAGAAGTCTTGCTCTTGGCATATTCCACATTCATCTGCAGTCCCATCAGGATCTCTTGGTTTCTTGGAATTTTATTGGAAGATGTAATAACAAGGAGCCATGGCTGGGGGACAATCCATGGATGGCATGTGCCAAAGTACAAGGAACATTGACCGTGTGCCTAGACGTATGATTGTATTAAGCAGCCTAAATCAGGTGACAGCAATAGTTAATGGCAGCAACACCTGTAGCCCAGGCTAGCAAACCAAATACACACCCCTGCACCTCAACAAGCTCGTAAAGACCATGCTGAAGTATGTGTTGCCACACTTTTACTGCTATAAACAAGATCAGAAGCGCATATACCTTTCAGTGCTCCAATCTTAACTCAGATTACATTGTAGACATAACTATAAAGTTAGCTGGATGTAGCAACATATTCACCCCAGTCCTTCACAATATCGTTCATCTGCATTACTTTAAGAGCATTACCTGCACATCACAATTCTTAATTCACTACAATACTTCAAGGTCAACCACAAGGTAGTATGTCTTGAATCCCAGCGGCAGCCAATTCCACAGGCAGCTGCCCCGACTTTATTGTGCCCAGCAGAACTCTCTTTTAGGGCTCATATATGCACTTTACACACTCCTAATCACTTGCTGCCCTGTGATTTTGTATCTGGAACATAAATAGCATTGCATGCTGGTATATACAGAGGAGATCAGTTTCTCCCCAAACAGAAGTCATTTATAATAATGAAGACTAAGGAGAAATAATTGTTTATAGTAAACTTTTGCTCACGTGTTTAGTTTCTGTTGAGGACCAAGGATTCATGCAATCGCTTTGCCTTTCTGCATATTTCAAAATTAGCTTAGAATACAACTTAATAATCAATCGCTAATGCATGTATTAAACCAAAATCTCTTCCCATACAGCGCTTTTTCTGCTGTGCCAAAACTAGCCCAATTAAAAGCCCAGTTAGAGGAAAGGAAAAGCACCCTTACCTGCCACACTGGCTCTGTGTGCTTTCCTGACTTAGCACTACTCTTGTAGCTGGGCTGGGAGGTTGCCTTCTTCAGGTTGTAGATGGCCACATTGCCATCATAGAAGCCCACTGCGACGAGGTAGGGGTAGTCATTATGGAAGTCCAGGCACATGATGCCACTCTCACTGCTGAAGACATACTCTGGGAAGGAGGGGTTCTTCATGGTGTAGAGCAGGAGCATGCCCTGGCCCTGCTTCATGAAGTCATCTAGACAAGGAGGAGCTTTGCTGTTAAATCAGTTTCCAAGATCCTCTACTATTGCGATGTACAATCTGACAGAACTCACCTATGCCTAAAACCCACCTGAATGCAAAGTCATGTGGGAAAGACATCAGTCACAGGACCAAATGGTCATGTTGGTGTGCCTACCTCTGAACACCCTTTCCTCCATTGACATGTCATCCCCAGGACATGGGGACAACGTGCTTATGCAGAAAACTACTGTTTGGGCAGTTTTTTTCTAGGAGAGAGACTTAAGAAGCCTTGGAGGAAAAGTACGGCACTTCATTTTTTGGGCTAGGATTTCACTAACATTGCAGACATCCAGGCTGAACCAAGGATACTGGCATTTCAATTTCTGTATTGGCAATATTTGATATTACAGCCTCCATTGCTTCTTCAAAGAAAAGCATTTAATTGAAGTATCTGTAAAGCATCATATCCACTGCCATTACACATAACTGTACAAACACAAGTCACTACAGCTTTATTTTCTGCTTATGTCCAACATCTCCTTGCTTGGCACAAAAGCTCTTTTTTTGCCAAGACTTTCCATTTTCTTTTCTATTTACTTTCACCTTCCCTTTGCACTGCCTGAAATTAGCTGTCCCTATTCTCAATAGGACCATCTTTCTTTCGTGTTTTTTTTTTATCATGTCCTGACCGTCTCTGCAATTCTCAGTTTTTTTGCTCATCTAAAAAAACAATTTCCAAATTCTTTTAAAGGGGAAGAAAAGCTGTTGATGTAGATAAGCTCTCCAGAAGCAGAGAAGGAACTTTTCTAATCTATGAAAACAATGCTATCTCTGAGAGTATCCTAGCCATCTCTCCAAGCGCTTTTTCTTACTGTCAAATGCCCCTGGGCACACAGCATATGGGAAACAAACTTACTGCTTTCTGTGCTTCAACTACCTACTACACGTCCTATTTCCAGAACAGTTACCTCCTTTTAAAAGTTCTTCCTACATTTCTTAACATTTTGACCAGTCTGCAGGATAAGGACCTGGTATATGTGTACCCCAGTGATAACACTAACTTCAGAGAACTCTCCTTGGTGGCAAGTTGATCCCAAATCTGCATGCAGGTACAGACATTGCTTACCTCAAATTTATCAGGGCGACATAGAGAACAATCAAGGAACCACTAAAGAATCTCACACATCAACAAAACTATTACTGCTGCTTTGTATTTGGATTGTGGAATACTCTGTTTTCACAGGTCTCTGTACACTGGGGCCAGGCAAGGGAAATGGCTTCCTTATTTTGCAGAAAGGTGAGATTCCAATACTGGCATTACTTTAAACATAGCTGAACTCAAATAATATTTTTAACATATGTTTTTGGAAAAGAGGGAAGCTTATTCCTAGAATTCTAGCTGAAAAGGAAGTGAACTTGCTTTCTCCGTCAGAGATTTGCCCTGTCCTTTGAATTCACAGAAATGTCTTTGTTCTTAGCCAAGTAATGTCATTGAACTGGTATTAAGTTGAGGTCCAGCCATGATAAGGATGAATCCCTCCTCTCCTCAGGAGCAAAAACACTTGGGAAGGCTGTGGAAAAGCAAGGTCTTGGGAAGAAGCTCTGGCAAAGTGAAATACGGGGTTCAGTTTGCAGATTAGGACACTCAAATGCAGGTCTATGTGTGGCTGTCTGTCTATAAGCTCAGAGTCTAAGCTCCTGCTACTATCAGTAGAGATCAATCAATCCACTTCACTGAGTGCAGAAAACTCACCTTAAAGAAGATCCCTGTATTAGGTCTGCTCATTAACTCTCTGGGCTCCACTGACTGTAAGAGCCAGCCCTCTACTGACTGTTCAACCCGTCTTAATCCAAGAGCTGAATCCTACTCATTATCTCCTCTATGTTACGAAATATTGCAGATGTGGGTTAAATCACAGATGTGTGAATACTGCACGTAAGTCTGGATTTTATGATTGCTAAAGTACAGCCTATTTCTGATGAAAGGCAAAGTGATGAGAATAATCCACAATTAACACTGAAGCATGGCACATAAATCCCAGTAAAACAATAACCTTCTGAGAGCAGGCATATAAATCCATTTCAGTGAAGGGTGAATTCTCACCCAGAGTACTAAACTGTGACATACCAACATGTTCTTTAATAAATGAAGAAAAAAGGGGCTTATTTCATTAGCGATATTCAATGTTCCAGAATGGTAGGGACAGGACATACCCACAGCAGTGTATCTGTGGCATAGCTTTAAAGCATGGCCTTTTCAAGAGAAAGGTTTGTGTTTTTCAGTAAAAACTAGCAGAGCACTGCAGTGTCCCCCAAATCCTGTGTAATCGGTCTCTCAGGATTCAGGTAGCTCACTGAAACAATGCTAAAAGACCACTGAGCACACAGCAAAGCAGAGGGCGCAGACCCGAGAGATGAAAATGGCTGCACCACTGCTGGCGGTGAAAGCAGCAGCTTCAGATCTGAGACAGCCGCTCTGCACCACATGAATGCACCAGCACGCACTGGAAGAGCAGGGAGTATCTGCCCCATGCAGATCCACCAAGTGCAAACTGGATCTTTTGCCGAGATCCAAGGGCTGGAGATACTAGAGATATCAGACAGTTATTCTGACAATCAGTGCCAGCAGGAGTTCTCCTACTTTACAGGAGGACACAAGACAGCACAGCAAGAAGAGGAGAGTGAACAGACTCTTGCTGTAATGAGGAAGAGTTGCATGTCATGAGGATCCTCAGTGTTACCCTGAGTGGAGGCTAAATTTCAGACTCGGACACGTAACAAGTGTACGTGGGAAGAGAAGTTTTGATAATGAAAGATGCAGATGATAGCATGATTACTGGTCTCAACCTGGAGAACTGAGCTCGTAAGCATCACATGCAATCAGAAATAGGTTTCAAACCAACTATTACCACTGTCTGAAATATTCATCTGCATTTGCATTTAAAGCTGGACAGATTCAACCCAAACCCTTTTCAGAAAAACACAAATTTAGTGGTAGCAAAGTATCTCAGAATATAATTGTGGTATCACCGAATAGTTCATGCAAAACAAAGATCTGAAAAGCATCTAAATCATTCTGATGCTTACTAAGTGTCTGTTTTAACTGATTTTTCATTTATATTTTTCCTTAGCTGAATTTAAAAGAATCAGGAAATGTTCAATATCAGATCTAAATATTTTGTTTGCTGGACAGAAATTTGTTTTATTTGCATCTTTCCCCTTTGGTTCACCAAAAAAAACATGAGACATGCATCGTTTTCCTCCATTTCCTCCAAAATGCTTAGTGGCTGAACCGGTATGTTCAACACAACAGTATCCTCAAGTTAGAAACTACAATGCTTGGGGTAAATCCTGCATTCACACAGCACATCTCAGTGTGGGGACCCTCCACGGTCACGAGTCAAAGTGGATATTTTTACTACACAAGAAGCCAGTGCTACAGTTTCTTGCGTGATAAACTGGCAAATAACCTTCTCTTTGGAGGATTTAAAATCCAAAACACTACAGACTTTAATCTTAGATCCTGTGACACATGGCTTTCTGTAAATCAAGTCCGCCAGCTGTCTTGCTGATATGACTTGGACCAAGAAATCACCATGCTAAAAGGAACCACTGCTGCTTAAAATCTGTCCTTTCTCCTCCAACAGCCCATCTAAAAAAAGAAGCAAGATGGAGAAGCACTGTTGTGAACAGCTGCTTGTTTCTGCGCATCACAGCTGCACAAGCACATCTACGCTCCTTTCCTAGATATGCCCATGCTTTGATGAGCTTGCTGGCTGGGGCTCTATCCTTTAGGCCTGGATTTCCGAGAAGGCAAGGGAAGAGGCTGGCTGTGCTTTACACTCAGTTAGGCGATCTCCTCTGGGGAGAAGAGATCAGTTTCAAAGACAAAAATTTTGGTACCCAAAGAAAAGGCTCAGCTGTTTACTTGCCTTTCAGATATTTAAAGTGTAGAGGACAAAAAAAGGTTATTTGCAGGCCAGCAAATTTCTCCAAGCAAATTATTGTTATTACCCAGGTCTACAAAACCCTGAGCACAGCCTAAGAATTTGCCTGTGCTACAGCCTGCGTGGCACAGACAGATGACTGAGCAAGTCATAAATTAATGAATTCTCAATGCTTTTTTTTTTTTCTATCAGTGAGCAAAACCTGCGCAGCATGGCACTGAGCACAAGCTAATCTAATCTGCTGTGAAACATGCCGGGTGAGCTTGCGCTGCTTCAGCAAGACTCTCCTGGCTTATTTAAATAGCTCTGCCAACGCCACGCTTTGCTGCGGTCGCAGAATGGGTGTGCTGCAAGAAAGGAAACGGCTGGCACTTCGAGCTTAACCGTATGCCAGTAGTTCAGAAAAATCGGGAAAGAACAAATCTTTCCGAGGAGCTCAGAGAGTTTGGGCATGTGCTGCATGTGTTTTCAAAGGCTCTTGAGGACTAACAATAATAACTGGAAGTTTTACAGCACTTCAGAGTGCTTTCAGCCTGTATCCCCAGCACTCCTTTTTACAGCCAAGGGAATGAGAAAGGGCACTGGAGGGGACTGCCAAAGGCACTACAGCAAGCTGGAAGAACCGGGAGCAGAACTGGGACTTCACAGGGCTCTGCTCAAGGTGGCCCCATCCCAAGATCCCTGAGAAATTTAAACTGGGATTGCTGATGCCCATTCTGTTCCTATTCCCTAAAATGCCCAGAAGTACACAAATATATTGCTGTGTTGATACAAGCCCTAATCACTATGGATATGGCTGTGAACCACGCTGTGGGCAGGGAGAAGACTACCACTGAACTTTCAAAACAGTCCCTTCCCAGAAAATAAAATGTTTTGAGAATTCTTTACTTCGTAGCTCAAGGCCAGAAAGCCTGGCCTCCTCTGTTTTGCAGCTCACAAATGTTACTGGTATACCATGTTTTGAGCCCAATAACTTGGTTTTGGCTAGTACGTGCATTCTTCATTTGAAGATCTCAAGAGACAGAGAAGCCACTGTTTCATTTTGCAGTTTGTTTCAATGTTTAAT